AATGAAATGTGGATTTAAAGATTAGATCGAGTAGTTTCTTCTCCAACAGTGATTATAAATTAGGTGGAAATATGGTATACAGATGCTCTTAGGGTCTTCTGTCTTCAAGATGGTTTTTGTGAAAATGTGTCTTTCAGAACAACACTGCAATAGCATTTTCTGCGATGATGGAAATGTTCTATATCTGTGCTTTAGTCACTAGCCACGCGTGGCTACAGAACACTTGAAATATGGCTAGAATGGCTGAAGGGTTAAATTTTTAAATTTTACTTAATTTATATTTAGAAGGCCACATATGGCTATTAATTACATTATTGGACAGTACAGTTCTAAAACAAGGTGCTAATATATCTAAGTTTAGAACTACAGATGCTTAATATTTACCTACTCCATATGGTTAAAAAGGAAAATAGTAATAGTAATAGTGTTTGATCCTACACTTACGTTATTTTAAAATGTGTCTATGGGTAGAAATAATATACTCAAAATATTAGTAATATGTATCTCTGGGAATGGAATTACAGTTGTTATTGTTTTTGCTTTTCTGCATTTTTTATTTCCTCTGAAATAGACAATCTGCTACAAATTTTTTTTAACATCTTTATTGGAGTATAATTGCTTTACAATGGTGTGTTAGTTTCTGTTTTATAACAAAGTGAATCAGTTATACATATACATATGTTCCCATATCTCTTCCCTCTTGCATCTCCCTCCTTCCCACCCTCCCTATCCCACCCCGCTACAAAATTTTTTGAGTGGTTGTTTCTGTATCTGTGGTCACAAACTCCACCCCTACCCCAAAGTGCAATATTCACATAAAGTAAGTATTTATTGTATTTAATTGAAACACTATCGTGTAATTGAGGTTTTTTTCCCATGACCAGAAATGTACACAAACTTGCACAGCAGTAGGAAGACAGAGAAACACAGGGATCTGGAAATGTCACATGCAGACATAAATAAGAGTGGATGCAGAGAGCCCACAACACTTCAGTTGCTGGGTGGGTGCCCTGGAGAGCCACCAGGACCCCAAGGGCTTAGGTACCTAAGCACAGCCCATGATTCCAAGAAGACCTCTTAACTCAGAGGTGAGTCGTGGCCTTGGTAGAGTGGGTCCTGAACCTGGGACTAAGCCAGTGGGAAGGCCAGACCTAGCACACCCTCTAATAACAGACACAGACCCAAGTGGGGGCCAAGACAAATGCATTGCATCATCTTGAGTTATTATCTTCTATCATAGCCTCTATCCCTTAGGGATAAAAATTGGGTGCGGGTGGAGAAAGGCGGAGGAGAGAGGAAGAAGGCAGTAAAAAATGTTCTGCTGCAGACAGATCATTCCTTTGGGATCAGATAGTCATTGAACATCAATACTGAAAGGGGCCTTGAGAAATCTTTGCATCCATCTCCTTCCTCTATGGCTGGAATCCACTAGGTAGGTGCAAAGCTATTCTGTGTCTCAAGCCCTACAGAGACAATGATAGGGATGGGATATAATTTCTTATGTTGAATGTAAGTATCCCAAGGTGATAGTTTATGATACTTGTGTATTGTTTGTTAGAGATCCATCATTCTATTCTGTGTATATTCAAGTCCATCTTCACTCAATTTGTTACACACAGTGAATATCTATTCACTTTAGGTATGTATTATTAAGGTGCCACTCTAGAGATTATTTCTTTCATTTTTTTTTTTTTGGGTGAAGAAACCAAGATAAAGGGGAAAAGGGAGAAATTCAAGCTATCAGTGACATAAATTATATTGTAGGCAACTTTTCAATAAGTACATCTTGATGATGGAGTGAAAAACAGAACCTAACTTTCTTTATCCCTAGATTCTTTACAAATGTATAACCAAAGTCCTACCTGACAACAAAAGAAGATTGGAATGATTCTTCCTGTGTCTCAAGATTTCCCTTTCTCATAGCTGACCTCAAATTATAGAAACGACTGAGATATTTCCTCACTAAGAGTTGGGGAACTTTCTCATGGATTTATAGTTCTCTCCTATATTTGGCCATTTTCTCCCCTGATCAAACCAAGAAATCTTCATAAGAAGGACAGAACCCACAAAGTTTTTCATTTCACATCCCCCATTTGAAATCTGGTGAATTTTTCTCATACTAAACTGATTTAAATTCAAGGACTAGAATTTCACTAATGCAGATAAGAGAAAAGAGACAAAGGTGAAATTGAATCAGGATGACCTCATCAGAGTCCAAGAATAAAGAATGGGATCACTCACACACATCCTCTCAGGACCCCACCTGCTATATTTATAAAATCCTGTTGCTCTGACCAGGGCAATATCTTGTTCTATCTATACTGTTATACCCCTCTGATCATTCTTGGGAGCAAAGAGGGTTGAGGTTCTGGGACTGCAGCTGGGCTAGGTAAAGTGCATTTGGGATGGAGAAAGGAACAAGGCAGGATATATCTCAGTACTAAGAAAAGGTGATTAGGGGGAGAGAAAAGGCCACATGAACTGCCTAGGCTAAGGTGAGGCTAGAGACGTACTAACCAGGCTGGAGTCCACGTTCTATATTGGATTATAGCATCGGGAAAGGAAACCCTCAGATACTAGTCTGAAGAATCTTGACTCAATGTAATAGGCAATCAGTGGAAGCTTTGGGATAAAGGGATAATATAGCAAACATTGTGTTTGAGGAATACTAACGTGTCAGGAGTGTGCAGGCTTAATTTGCAGAAGAGAAGAGAAATGGCAAGCAGAGACTTTAGTAGGAGTATATTGAAAGATTCCTGGCTTGAGGCAGTGACAGCTGGGAGAGGTGGCTGACAATGGGGGTAATAATAAAAGTAATAATATAGCTCAGATTTACTGAGTGCTTACTATGTGCTAACTATTGTGCCAAGGGTTCTATTTACATGATCACATTTCATTACAACAACACGATGAAGTAGGTACTAGTATTGTTCTTATTTTGAAGTGTGGAAACTGAGGCTTTTAGCTGCTAAGTAAAAGCATGTGTAGGAGCTGCATTTCAGAGGTGAATCCAAAGGATTTGGTGAGCAGGCAGTGTTAAGGGAGGAAACAGAAATTTTAAGAGCCAGAGTCTCTCGGGGCATATCTACTGGTGTCAGCAATAGGAAAAGAGAAGCTTTGCAGGCTGGCGTAGGTTTTGTTAGAGGAGAAAGCAAGGAGTCTTTTTGCCCCATATGAAATTCCCATATTTTCAAACCCTTTTGTTCTAAGTTCCCAGAACATTTTCTCAATAGGATCTCATTCCTTCCAACATTTCTGTAGTTTGGTAAACAGATTTGGTTGAGCTGCCTTACAGAGAAAACTGGGATCCAGCAACACTGCACCAACACCAGCTGGTGAAGAGTAACCAGAGACAAGGTTCTTTCCTTTTTCCTATGCGGGCGTGGGGTCACCAGCGACCTTCTGGTCACCCATGAGACTGGTTGAAGAACCTGGTGTTCCTTACCCCTTTGTTCCACCCCCTCTCTCTCAACCGCCCCAGGCTTCTGCACCTGGGGGGACAAAGCGGACTTCATTTTTCTACAAGGGAACCTTGTCACTCACCTTATTTAGATTTCCTCAGGTATGGAAGTGGGGTACATTGTGGGAAGACAAGAGCAGTAAAAATGCCTCTGTGAAGGATGGGACTTCCAAGGGTGTCCGGGAGCAGGCATCTGCCCAAGGGCACTGGGAGGAAGGGCAAGAAGTTCTGACGTCAAAGAGCCTCCAGGGTCCTGACACAGAATGAGATCATGTCTTTTCCTGAAGGAGCAAAGCTCCCCTTGTCCCGAGGGTCTTGTTTAACTCAGGTCACTAGGAGGTTAACCATAGATGAAAGTTCTGTGCTAACAATGAGAATCTTCTCCCCGTTAGGTTTGCCTTAGAACACGTGTGTGTGTGTGTGTATGTGTGTGCATATGTTCATATATGCACGCTTTCTCTGGGTAGAACTTAAATGTGATTACTCTTATCCTTACTTTCTCTCTTTTTTCTATACTTCTTCTGTTCAACAACCATCCTCTTCCCCTTCCTCTCTTTACCCCAGCAAGCTAGAGAACTTTAAATCTCATGATTTCCATGAGAGAAATGAGGGAAGATAATATTTCTATTCCCCTCTTCCCATTAAACCCATCATAGTAAGTCAATCACCCCATAATCAAGTTAAATAGCCAGCTAAGGGAGGCACAAGGCTTTTCGTAATGGTCTGAAGTGTGGGATTCAAGCTTATTGAATGAAATCCCAAAGGACCTCAATTATGGTGTCCTTATCAGGCCTTACAGGTGTTCATCGAGACCCCCATATCATCTCCAGGTCTGCAGGTAGGACCTCTGAAAATCTCTATTATACTAGGGGATCTTGAAGAAAAGAGTCAAATCTCTAGCTTTTCAGACTTCCCAGAGCTCCCTTTTATTTTCCATATCAGAGGACAGGATTCCCCTTGCTTTAAGATCTACATAATTGCCTGATCATGTAATTTCACTTTGTCCACAACATCTACACCCTCCTAGATAAAAACTAGCTTTATGCCATTAGCATATGAGTAGAGCAAGAGATACCTGACCATTTTGACCTTAACATAAATTGTTTTTATAGAATATGTCAAGAAACCAATTCAGTTAATCAGTCAACAAGTTAGCATTCTCCCTGACTAGAATGAAGTCTCCAGAAGGTCAAGGACTTCATATACTGTGTTCCTCATCTCCCCATCCATAAGACCCAGAGCAGTATGGATACATTCCTAGTGGTTTATAGTCATTTAATTGTCCCCCTCGTTAGAATCTCTTGGCCATATCAGTGTTGAAAAACACCCAGCCTGAAGGGTGATGCATGGAATAAAATCATCTTTTCTCATTTTGTTGGCTTAAGAGGCAGGTTCTGGTGTACTAACTCTTCTCCCCAAGATTTACAGGTCTTCAAAATGCATTTTTTTGTTGGGCAGAGGAGTTTAGTCATTAGCTCTGCCTGTACAATGGTTTAATTGTTGAAGGACACAGTGGTGACGTATTTAGGATGAAGGGCACTGCATTAGTTTCCTAGGGTTGCTGTGACAAAGCACTATAGACTGGGTGGCGTAAAACATAGAAGTTTATTCTCTCGTAGTTCTGGAGGCCAGAAGTCTAAAGCCAAGGTGTCAGCAAGGCCATGCTCCCTCTAAGACTCTGGGTAGAATCCCCTCTCGCCTTCTGGTGGTTGCCATTGATCCTTGGCATTCCTTGGCTGCATCTGTCATCACGTTGCATCTTCCCTGTGTCTCTGTCTTCTTAAAAGGAAACAAATTATATTAGAGCCCATGATAAAGATTTCATCTTAACCTGGTTTTATCTGCAAATTCCCATTTCCATATAATGTCACATCCACAGGTAGTAGAGTTTAGGATTTGACTGTATTTTTTGGAGGGGACTCAACTCAACCCATACCAGGCACTCTGTCTCCTTTTTGTTACATGCCGACTCACTTGCAAGTGAGCACACAGCCATGCATGATCAAGCCTTTCCTGCTTCAGAGGTGATGCTAAGAGGGTGGGCTTGACCAGGAGTCCTGAGAGTGGTTTCTGACTGTGCTGATTAGCCATCTAACCATGAGTAGGTCACATATTACCCCCACTTTGGAACAGACAGGGAAACTGAGACCTTGGGAGTTTATCCAGCTGGCCAGACTCACAAAGAAGTTGTGAGGATGGAGTGAAACACACCTGTAAAAATAAATTGTAAAGGGTGGGAAGCTGTACAAAGTGAGAGGACATCCTCCTTCTCCAGGTTGTTTTGGTCTTTGGTGTGAGATGAAGGTACCTATTCAAGAGGGTGGAGCTAGGAATGTTGGGATTTTCCCAGTGACAGATTGCTTTACCTTTTTCCAGTTACTTCCAGAATCCAGAGCTCTTCCATAAAATCCCAGACATGCTTTTCCTGAAACCCTTGTTTTCTTAATCATTATTTCTGGCTGGATTTCCAAGAATATTCTACCTACATGCCTTAGATATATGGACATGACACTTAGTAGGGCTTTTAACCCTATCTCTAGGAGATCCATCTAAGTCAGAATGAGGTTGTATTTCAGGCCCAAGAAAGACTCAAGCCCAATCTTAGAACCTTAGAGCAGTTCAGAGTTCAATGCCATGGAATAGAGATGAATCCCTCTTGCCCACTCTCATTTGCCATCCCTTTTTGCACTTGTCACACTGCACCTGGAGAGATTTTCTTAAATGCAAATCTGATCATGTAACTCCTTCTCACAAGTCATCAATGGATCCCTGTAACTTACTAGGTAAAATACACATCCTTGTCATGACTTACGGGTCCTCCACAGCCTGGCCTCTCTCTGCCCCCAAGCCACATCTCTCCCCACACACTTTCTTCTTATCCATGAAGACCTATTTGCAGTTTTCTGAATACCCCAAGATCTCTCAGCACTCCTTTCCATATTATAGTCTCATCTTTCAGTTAGAAAAAAACAAACAAAACATAACAATGCTTTACCTACAGGAATGGATCATGGTCCTATTTAACCTGGAGAGCCTGTGAATGTAAAGGTTAATTTTTGATTCTTCGTTTTTTTCAATCTCATTTCCCACATTCTGCCTCCACGTGAAGGAGACAGATTCTGTGAACTTCCAGGGATCCTGTTTCCTGTGTCTTTTGCTGTGCTGCTGTTGCTGTTGTCAGGCATCCATTAGATTGGAGTCCAGATTATGTGGAACTAGGAGTATGGAGTGAGTGCATGTCCCTGTGTGAACACCCACACAAGTACAATAAATCATGATAAGTGACATCAGCAGCCCCAGTCTGAATTATCCATGCTCATGCAGAAGGCTCCAGCTCTCGTATTCCCTTCCTTCCCTCCTCTCTCTATTCATTCCATTTCCTCCTCTTCCTCTCCACCATGGCTTCACTTCAGACCTCATCATATCTTAGCTGGACCACTGCAGAAGTCTCCTCCAGGTCTTCCCTGAGTGCTCTGACATTACCTCTCCTCTTAGGGCAGCACTTTTTCCTTTCTTTCTTTCTTTCTTTTTTTTTTCCCCCTCCACCTCTTTAAGTCCTCATGCTCTTTGGAAGTTCCTGTTTCTTTTGCAACTTTTCCACCAGCCCCACCACCATTCAGATCTAAATAACAAACAAACACAACAAAACAAAACACTGTAGAGAGGGGCAAGTAGCCAATATATCTTCTCCATACCCTTATCCATAGTCAGTTCCTCAAGATATCAACTAACCACTGTAATGACACCCCCTTATACCTTATATACCTTATATAAAGGTATATAAAAGCTTATACCTTTCCTCAAATAGGAGCCCAGGCATCCAAATATCTCTACCACAGTCTGTACCTGGCTATATCCAGACCCAGTTGTTTACTCTATGAAGCTGACAGGGACAAACACCTTTGATTTACCTAAAGCACAAACACACACTGAAGACATTTCTACAGCTCTCCCTTAAATCAGTCAGAATTAACAAGGTGTGAGCAAGCAGGCTAACCTTACCCAGAACCTCAGGGTAGATAGTGTAGGCAGGAAATAACTAGTGTGTATCGTAATCCTAAACCTTTGATTAGTGAATCACCCTTGGATCCTCATTCTCTCACGCTTTGGTGTGAAGACTTTGGCCGTGACTCAGCCTGGGAGAGGGTGGGGATGCCCAAAGACAGAGATACCAACCAAGTCTCTGCCACCAAGGTCGTGCCACCGAATAGCACAAACTCGACTTCCCAGTAACTTGTACCCTGAGAAATGCAATTTTCACTTTGAGACACACGCCTCAGAAAGACTCACAGGTCTCAGGTGAGATGCCAACAATATGGAAAGTAAAAAAGAAATAAAGAAATAAAAACTCCTGATCCTACAAAGCATTTGCCTGATAGAAGCAAACTGAAAACTTGACAAGTCTCCATGAATTAAGCAGGGCACAAAAATATATCCCTTTAAAAAAAAAAAACAGAAAAAAACACAAATAGAAACAACAACGACAAGAAAAATCAAATGTATACACCTTTGTTTTGTAGGATTAAATGGAAGGATAAAGTATGAAATAGGAATGTAGACATTAGTTATGTTCTACTACCTACATAAGTGATTTGTTGCAAGTCTTTTAACCTCTCTGAGCCTTCCTTTGATCACCGATATGCAACCCTAATAAACTCAGAGACCATGTGACTCAGGCTCAGAGAAGTGGCAGATTTAAGAAGCAACATTCCAAAATTAAAAGTAATAAAGATGAAATTCCATTTATTATTCATGACTCTCTGAAGACATTAAAGGGGATGAAAATACATGGTTTTCAGAGACACATTCAAATTCTGTTTCCTCTCTAACCTACTTTCTTAACATAGCTTCTCTGGCTCTGGTCTCCAGGGGGAAAATAAAAAGCTTCCTCTTTCACTCCCTACTCATAAATCTTTCTGTCATTTTCCTCCTCCCTTCCCACCTCTGAGTACTGTAATATCTAGATCAATTTATCTCTTCTTCCAGCAAAAAGATCTTCCCTCTTGTAAGAGCATAGGAGGTGGAAATTTGACTAGCATATACAGAATTATTTTTGGTGAGGTTGGATAAAGAATGGGTCTGCAAACGATCCTAAATTATTGATTTTTAACCTTGCATCATTAATTTTTGTCCCATAACATTAAATATGAGACCTCTAAATTCTCCTTGCTTGTGTTACACATTTGTTATTTAGAACAAATAAGATATTGATTTGGAAAACCATAAATCACATATAGTATTTTTATGTGAATCAGTTCTAAAATGTCTGGCACAAGTTCCCTTTCCTGGGTGCCAAGGAAGGCAAAAATATAGAGGATAGGAGGAATTTCTCCTTAAAATAACATGTAAATGATTATTCCTCTGGAATTGTTAAGCATCTCCCTCTACTGTTTACTATGCCTTTATCTTACTTTTCCAGTTTTAGCACTCCTAAGGATAAGGTTTTGTTTTGGTAATATTGTGTCTCTGTCAGTGGGAGCCTCCATTAATTAATTAAATAATTTATTCAATTAATGAATATTTATCAATGAAGTTGTGATTTCCTCCCTTAAAAAAAAAAAAAGAAAAAACTCCCATAAGTCAGGTTCTGGGTGTTAAATAACTCATAGCTCTTTCCCTCAAGGAGGGAATCTAGTAGGTGGGGTGAGAATGTAAGCAGACCTTTTAACTCATTGATTCCTGACAGAACAAAGTCAAGGAAAGGGATGGAGATTGAGAGACCAGCCTACTGATGAAGCAGTTGTTGTCACTAATGCCTAATTCAGATCCTAGTTCTCCTATGGGCTAACCCAGAGAGAGACCAGCAGCTGTAGTGCGTAATGTCGTTTGGCCATGCTTTGGCTATGTATATACCCCCTCCCTTTTTCGAATCCTACAAGACAGACTGATAAACACAGGCCACATTTTCCCAGCTTCCCTTGCAGTTAGTTAGAGGTGTCCATGGAACCCAGTCGTAGCCAGTGGGCAAGTCTGTTGAGGAACTTTGGGAAAGTTTTCCTTTCCTGGTAAGAGAAAAGAGAAATAGAAGAAGGAAAAAAGCTAAAAAATTTCTACACAGCAAAGGTAACAGTCAGCAAAATGAGAAGTCAACCTTTGGAAAGGGAGAAAATGTCTGCAGACTCTATATCTGATGAGGGGTTAATGTCCAAAAGATATAAGAAACTCTTACCACTCAATAGCAAAAAAACCCACAAATAACTGATTTTAAAAAGTCGACGTAGGTATTGAACAGACATTTCTCTGAAGAAGACATACAAACAGCCAACTAGTATATAAACAGATGCTCAACATCACTAATCATCAGGGAGATGCAAATCAAACCCACAATGAGATATCACCTCATACCTAAAGGACGGCTATTATCAAAAAAACAAAAGATAACAAGTGTTGACAAGAATGTGGAAAAATTGGAACCCTTGTACACTATTTGTGGGAATGCAATTGTGCAATCACTATGGAAAATAGTACAGAGGTGCCTCAAGAAATTAAAATTAGAAGTACCATATGACCCAGCAATCTTATTTCTGGGTATATATCCAAAAGAATTGAAGTCAGCATCACAAGGAGATGTCTGCACTGCCATATTCATGGAAGCATTGTTCACAATAGTCAAGATATGGAAACAATTTAACTGTCCATCAGTGAATGAACGGATAAAGAAAACGTGGAATATACAGACAATGAAATATTACTCAACCTTAAAAAAAAAAAAAAGAAATCCTGCCATCTGTGACAACATAGATGAATCTGGAGGACATTATGCTAAATGAAATAAGCGG